CCCCCCCCCCCCCCCCCCCCCCCTCTTCTGAGCTGTGGACAAGTCTGTGTGTTTACTCATGACCTCAGCACGCCTCTGTTCTTCACAGCTCGCAACAGCTAGCAGCAGTGCTTTCCCAAGCCTCCAGTGTCTGCTGATCTCCTCTCCAACAAGGCCCAATACATGGCTAAGATCTCTTGACAGCACACGATCATGTCCCTTCATTCCATCCCGTCTTAAGCTGCTTTTGTTGATTTGCACAAAGTTAGTCCAAACAGTTAACAGCTTGTGTTAATCCTTAAACATGGGCGGATCCCAAAACGTTTGTCATTGTTCATGAATAAGAACTGTCCTATTTGAGACAAGTATGTGCCCATGCATGTTTGTTGACTTTGTTTCAGGAAAGATGTGGTGAGCTTCGACAAACAGGGCATGTTTCCTCTGTGGGAGCAGGGTGGGAGGAATTTGTGGACTAGTTTCACGAACATCTCTGCAGGAGGTATAGCGTTGTTTCTTGGTGGCGGTTTAAGGATTTTGTATACTTAGTTGTGCCATCATAGAGCTGTTCAAAGGCTTTCCAGTGGAACGATTAATTCAATTTGTATAGCTCGAATACCTTTAGGGATTCAATTACTTCAAGTGGTATGAATCATTACCTTGTGACAGATGAGTGAATAACTGGATTTATAGGATGTCATCTTGTTGGTTTAATGTGTGTTGGATGAGATACAAAGAGAGTAATCCAAGAACAAACGATCCACTGTGGCAGATCACAAGCAGAAATGAGTTGATGGTTGATCAGAGCTTTGCATGCTGACTTTGAATTTTTTCACGTTTTAACGTCAACTAAAAGTTTACAATGCTAGCACGATGTGCTTAGAAACATCAATGACATCTTTGGGTTTTTTAAATCCATACAAAATGCAATAGATAAACTAAAAAAATGCAAGGTTGTTCAAAAAAACTGAATGTTTTCACCCTGCAAAGTTGTTATTGTATTGTATTGTATTAGTACAGATAAATGACCATGGGCATTAATGCAGCAGATATAAAGCAAACCCCTACTGCATGTTCACATCGCGCAAAATACTAAATAAGCACCGTCTTTGGATACTAGATGTGGTTTTGTCATCACATGTGGAGTATTTTAAACTATTTGGCCTTATCAGTGCATTACTTTCAAAAGCAGCTGTCTCAAAAGATAAGATAGTTAATCCGTCTGTGCTCCTAATCTTAGGTGGCAGAGGAGAAACTGCTCATTCTCTGTATTTTATGGAGCCTGTATTCGGTTATCTTTTTGAAGTTGTTTCCAGGAGTCACTCAGAGTCGGGGCAAGCTATCACCGGTATCCTTTTAAACCAAATGATTCATTATCTCTGCTCTCCTTGCCCTTTTGCCAGGTTTATCTCTATAATCCGACATCCAGATGTGCCGTCTAGTTGCAGCTCCCGTGGTTGAGCCATGTTGTTTTGGAGGCTCCGCGGCCGGGGAGGGCACTGTTGGTCTGCTCTACGTGTTGCTTCACGCGAAGTGCTTTGCCGTTTTTTTGTGTGGGGGCGAGCAGACTAGCCGGCGGTGGGGGCGGGTTAAACCGTAGAAGTTCTTATTTGCCACCATCTCTCCCTCCTATTTCATGAGAAGCTCTCCAGCTATTGGGAGTTTGCATCATTTCATGCAAGATTAGACCACCTTGGTTCCCACACAATACTTAGTGTTTTATCCACATGGCTTGTGATAATTACAATGTTTATTCATTCACCAGCTTACTCTCTCTCCATGTTTAATCCCTCTACTTTCTTCACTAGTTGCTATATTCAGATTGTCCGACCCCTGGTGATAATAATTCATGCCCCATTTCTCTCTCTGTCTGACTTTCTATCCGTCTTCCTCCTTCTTCTTTCTATGTATATCCAACCTCTTCCTCTCTTCATGCTTCTTTCTTCCCATCACTTGGTCCTTTCACTCTCTCTCTCTCTCTCTTTCTCTCTTGCTCGTTTGAAGTTGTGCCGACAGGAACTAAAAAGGCACAAAACTTTCCCAGAGAACCTCCCATAAGGCTTCTTGTTGATTTTTCTTTCAAGTTCATTTTCAAACAGCATTTATTCATATTAAACAGATGAGAATATATATCAAGGCATTACAATGCAAATGATGGCACCCACATCTTTCTCAGAATTGTTGTTGTTGTGGTGGGTGTGTGAGTGCGTAGGCAAATGCAACTTTGAATGTGTGTCACTGTCCCAAATCCAAATCCAAGGCTAGCCGAAGCTCTGAGAGAGAGAGCGTAAAGACTGAGCCTCTGCCCACACTCTAGCATGACTCCATCTCTACACAAAGGGCTGCCTGTGGAGAACTTCCTGTGTGAGGATTCTTGTGTTTGTGGGCATGCTGGAGAGACTGCAGAGGTCAGGCGATATGACTCTGTGGGGTTCCTCTTCTTTTGTTGGACTCCTTTCTAAAAGCTCTTTCTTTCTCCAATTCATTCAAGTATCTTGTCCCTTTTTTCTTGTTGTCTCCGCCCACTTCCCTGTTGCCCAGCCTCCTTATTCACTACGCTCCCTCCGTCTGGCCTTTCTATTCCACACACCAGAGTGCAGATAGGTCTCAACACCCCGTGCAAAGCCACAATGCCACAGCTTGCCCTTGCAGCTCGGGACAATTACTCCTCCCCCCATGTCTGTTGGTTCATACGTTGTCACTGGTACCATGACATGTGGGAGAGGACATTAATGATTTTCTTTCTCTGTGTGGAGGTTAGAGCGTACCACATTGCTTTCTCTAGCCTTAGAGTGCACATTGATCATTTTACCAACCATTTATGGAATAATAATGATCTGAAAAAACACTAAATCAACACACTCGCCCCAACCTCAAAATGCAACTTCTGTCTGCTTGTATTTTCCCACTGCAAAGTGTTTTAGCCGTGTTAGAAGCGTGGCTGTATGGATGGCAATGTCTGGCTGTCGGTCTAGACTGAAATATTTTAACAACTACCGGATGGATTGGCATTAAATACGGGCAGACGTTCATGGTGGCTAGAGGATGAATCCTAATGACTTTGGTGAACCTCTGTCCTTTCATCAAGTGCACCAACAGGTCAAATCTTTCACTTTAGTGAAATACCTCAACACCCACTCTAAGGACCGGCGCATGCACTTATTTGCAATGTACCATACCATAAACGACACAAAATCGCAAATATTGCATACATAAAGCAAACAGCAAGGCCTTGTGTGCCCACAATGTCAACAGTATTGAAGTATAGGAGCATTTCACTGATCCATCTACAAATAACTCCAATAACCTGGCTCCAAATTATTTACAGCAGAGTCACGACAGCATCATGTTTTGCTATTTCCCAAATAATCAAATTTCAGCCCATCAAACGAATTACTATGCAAATCTCTCATTCACACCAATTTTTCATGTGCGTCAAAAACACACATGCTCAGGAAATGTGCGCAAGTAAGTTTCAACAGCAACTTTAACAACGACAAGAGAGCACATGAAGCACATACCTTCTCACATCTGACATCTGAGCCAAAGCACCTGCTGTCTCTTCCGTCACATTAGTTGTGCCAGCGGCGCTGTATAAGCAATATAAGGTCACAACCAATCCCTGTTGTTGGTACTTGCTCCTTCAATAGTCTGCCTCTTTTTAGATTTCGATCATTCAGATCATTTGGTAGTTTAGACAAGCTGCAGTGTTTCCTTATCTTAACCACTGTTGCCAAAGTGCTGCTGGAGGTAGTTGGCTAGTTCATTGGCACAATGTTTTGTGGACAGACATTCATGGTTCCCAGTGGATAGATGACACTGACTTTTGTTGTCCTGTGACTTTTCCTCAAGCTCCACCATGAGGTTGACATTTGTGCCTTAGGGTGAAATGTCACTTATGAAATGACACTTATGCTTGCCAAGAAACGTGACACACACATTAATGTCCGCTCAGAATGAATTGTAATAACTTTGGCTATCTCTTAACTTTTCATCTGTTGCCATCATCAGGTCAAAATGTGTCCATTACTTTGGTTTATTACCAAATACATGCAAAGCAAATTACATTCACATCAGCGGCACCCTATGTTTAGTACTAATTAGCATTTGTTTTAGCATGCTACCAAGCCAATAATGGTGAACATTGAAAACATCATACCTATTAAACATGTTAGCATTGTCACTGCGCGCATGTTAGCATGCTGACTTTAGCATGTAGCTCAAATCACGAAGCTCTTCAGCTGTATGCTGCTTATTCTGGTAAAAGATGTACTCCCGCTCAATTTCTAAACCAGAGCTACTCTCCCACCAACTATTTGGATTCAATTAATTTACGATAAATTGTCGGGCTCTCAACCTTTTAAGTTCTGCTCAATTTACCACCAGCGTCTCTGGTTCTCTCATAAATCAAGAGTCTGTTCTAGGTCAGCCAAGGAAAAGACCTGTGATTAACCTTCATTAGTGGCCTGTTGAGGGCACACGTTGGTGAGATCCAATCTTTGGCCCGTTCCCTGTTCTGCCTCAGTGGGCCCCCTCAGTATGTGCGTTTATTGAACTTTGAACCTGCAACTCAAAGCACTGCTACAGTCCACTAGCCACGAGGCTACGTTCACTAACTTGAGTTTGTCTTATCTTCTGTCCTCTGACGAGCTTTTTACCATTTTCCCATTGAGATGTCTCAGTTGTATTTTTCCTCTGCCTTGCTCCATAATCTTATGAAGGATCGTTCTTTAATCGCTCTTTTAACTTGTCAACATGGTTTCACCGTTTAGTAATCCTGCCTCAGGCTGCAAGCATCACTGAGACAGCATAGACTAAGAAGCACACGCCACTCTATGACAAGCTGGTGATTATTTTCTAAAGTCTTTGAGGTGGTTGCTTTGGACAGCACTAAGTGGGGGGACTAATTATTTGTGCCAGCTGGGGCTGTTACTGAGACATTCCTCTTGCCATGTATCATAGTTCAGTTCAATAATGAAAAGACAAGACTATTTGGAATTTAGGAGAATCAGAAGAGGATATAAACTTTAAATCTGTTTATCATTTTGGAATATTTTTACTTTAAATTGTATTCATTATCTTATCATTTTCATAGCAATCCAGTGAATGTTTTTTAATGTCCGACAATGCCAGATGATGACAGCAGTCTGCTGTGAAGCCAGACCTTTCCAGGGGATGCCAGGAATAATATTTTTTGTTTACACCGATCTGTTTGTCCTCTCTAGACTCAACTGAGCGAACAAAGCCGATCGGAATATTTTTCCAGAGTGGGAGAAACCCTAGAGCCTTTAAACAGCCCCACAAAAACAAAGAAGACTGTGCTTCAAAAGATGTAAGTATGATCTAATGCAGAACTTTCCAGCCCCACCGGTCAGAGAGGACACTCAAGTATCTGTTCATGTCCTCTTGTCCTTTAACTTTTTCAGAGCCAAACAAGCTAGAGTCCAGCAAGAGCTCTATGGTTCCAGCGTGGGGAAACAGAAGATTAACCTAAGAGCCTGTCCCAAAAACCAAAGAGCTGCAGAGTCAGAATCAAGCCCAAAAGAGACTGTATCCAGCTCTGGACAGAAGGGCCTCCCAGAGGCAGACCACAACATGCCTTGTCCCAGTGCCTCAAAGGAAGCTCAGATTGGGAATACTCGAAAGCAGGGCCTGACCAAGGAGCAGCAGACTGAGAACAGTCCTCCAGACAGCATCAACCCAAATGGGGCCTCAGTAGTTCTCTGCCAACATGAAATCAGTCAGGAGACGAGAAAGAGCAAGAGGTGCAAGCCAAGCGCTGCAGGGGAAGACCTTCACCCACGGAGGGCCAAGAGGACGTGCCTTGGAAGACCTCCAGCCACAATGCAAACTCACTCCGAGTGCTCCACACAAACATCCAAGCGTGACCTTCTTCCTCTTCCTCCAGTCGAAGCCAAGGCAGAGTCCAAGGCTTTCGCAGTCACCGAGCGCAAGAAAACCACACTGGAAGTAGAGCTGCTTACTCCAGAAAAACGGGCCCAGAGGCTCCCCCTCACAAGCAATAACACGGCACAGACAAACCAAAACAGGCTGGCCGCAAGTCTGAGGGGCCTATCTGTCAAGCCTGCATCCTCAGGCTCCTCTATTAGTTCCAGATCCACACTCGGAGAGGGGGGGGAGCGAAAATGTGCCCAGAGCCTCTAGATTAGGACGGCTGAAGAGGTCCTGAGGGGGAGAGACAAGCGACAGTAAAGATGCCTGACGCCACAGATATGATATTGTGTCAGGCTACGCGTTTACCTCACATGACATGCATTTGTACACGTGTCACATTTCATTACAATGTCTATTCTTTTCACATGTGCTGTACATTCAGTGCGCGCGTGCACACACACACAGATGAATTTCTGAACACATTATGGCAATTGATACATGAGCGTTTGGGTTACGCTTTGTCAAATACTTGAAACAGACTTTGCCTCCACCCTTAAGTAGTGGTGGTCAAGAGAGGCTCGCAAAATGAAAGTCAAAAACCTTTAATTGGAGTTTAGATTTGGTTTTGTGTTAAAGTTTCGGGATTTCAGACAGGCAGGAGCCATGCAGTACGTCATGGCTTTCAGTCTGAAATACTGGCTCCTACGGGTCTGAAAACTGTCCAGTTTCCCCACTGAAGCTCTGGTGTGATTGATTGCTGTTTCCAGATTTATTTCATCACATTCTCAAAAATGTACTTATGTAGTTGGATTTCATTCATATACAATTTGCTCAATACTTAGTTGCTAAGCACCCGAAATGTATCTTTAAATGTGGGGGTATTATGCAGCTCGTATATTGAACTTGGACCAAATATGTGTGGATGTATGAAGAGTATTGAAATATTAGTGGTTTTTATTTGGGAGTAGCAGGGCGTCTTCGGTCTCGCAGGTTAAAATGCAGCTGCGGTCGTTGCCCAACACTCGACAGGGCTCTTTGGATCACTCACTTGGCCCTAGCCCAGAGAGAGCATGGGGCAACTAGGGGCCAACGGTCCCTCACACCCCCATGTAAAGCCCAAGATGCTCCACTTGATGACATGTTGGTTGATTACATTACTCCCAATTTGTTTTTATTTTACTGGAAAGATTTTATGATATAAATAAACTTGTTTTTTCCCAGCAAAAAATAAATCTCTTGAGTCTTTATGGAAATAGGTTGATCATTTTCTGGAAGCAGCCTGCGTGAAATAACATACAGATCTCTGCACTTTGTTCTCCTCCAATACAGTCCAGACTGGCTGATGCTCATGGCAATTTGACAGCGAAGGCCTGTCCAACAGTGATGTTACTAATAAAGCAGTGCTTCTCCGTCTGCTTTAGTGGGTGTAACCTGAGATGAGTCACTCACAGGAGCCAATTCTGTTCTTATCGAGACAGAGACAACATGGTGGATTAGGGAAGCTGACCCTACTGTTTTAAGTCCTTATATGGTTTAACGTCTGTGTTAATCTCTCGCTTTGGATTTAATCCTTTTAAAAACAGATTCTGTGAAGAAGTACATCTTAAAATCAGTTCAACTCTACAGCGTAGTCTTCTCAGGCCTGCTAGTTTGAAAGGTTTGAGTTAAACTTAAAACAAGGGCAACATTGTCTGAGGACCATGGGGAGAAGGGTATTTTTGTCTCCACGATTGACTTAATACGAGGTTGGCCTGCTACAACGTAATTAGCTGTAAACACATTTGGACAGATCTTGCTCATCTCGTCTATGATGTCTCTCCAGCAGCAGTTCCCACACCAGCTGCATGAGAAACCTCTGACGTGTTTGGCTTGATGCATCACAGACAAGACTTCACTCGCTCTCCAGAACAAAGACAACTTTAATTCTCTTTTCATACAAAATATTTAATAAATATGACTTTCAAAAATATATTGCCAGATCAACACATAATTCTCAAGTTCATAACAAAGTCAAAAATAGAACAAAATGTTGCCATGATCTCAAAGGGTTAACAAATGAGATAAAACATGTTTGTCTTTAAGAGCCTCTTTTTTTTTTTTTTTAAAAAGGAAACTAATTTGCACGGAAACGAAGCAGATTCTTGCAGAGCAAGGCAGTGTGTTTGATCAGATTCTACAGTGTTCCCATTGCCCCCCTACCGTTCAAGTACCCCCCCCCCCCATCTAGCTTATGATTTTACCCTGACTAAAGCAGATGGGAAATCTGGCGTGTCATATTGTTGCGAGTTGATTTCGACAGCCTTTGAAATATGTCAATGGGTTGAACTGAAGCCGCTGAAGGATTTTTGTTCCCTTAAGTATTTATCCATTAGTGGCAAGCAATATGTCTGCCACCAAGTCCGTCCCATGCAGCAGCCGTGATCTTTTGTTGTCCTAACCTCACTTGCCTTCTCTCAAGGTCCTGGCAACAATCAATGAAATGTCAAATGTGTGGAAAAAACAACAACAAAAAGTGTTTCAGGCCAAAAGCGCCCATCCTTTGTCTTCTTTGAAATTTGGCTTTTATAAAATGCGTTGAAATATTAAGTCATTGAAAGAAATTGTAGGCTTCCACAGCTATCAAAACCTTTAAACTAGACAGAACATATAAATAAAAAGGAATGATATCTTAAGGCTCTTGATTATTAAGTTAATAAATCAAATATACACAATGATTAATACAAAAAATTTACATATCTACATGTTCTAAATTGACATAAATTCTTCATATTGGCAGCAACTGCTGACATTGAACCCTGACCTCCCCCCCCAAAAAAAATAAAAATAAATAATAAAGTTGATCTTTTTTCTCATTTGACAGTTGCTGAAGTCTAAAGCTGAAAAGGCACTTTCTCCAAACAGAACTAGAAAGAATTCAAACACATTCTAAAAATAATTAGCTCTAGCATTGAACACGTCGGGTAGTTTTAGTCATTGTACAACAATTACACCAGGAGCCCTTTCCACGTGTCCACTAAATAAAAAACAAAAGGAAGAAATGAAATGCAGAGGAGGACACTTTTGCAACTAGTTCTACAGTGAAATGTATACCGGCGCCTTGTGTTTCCAGCCAACCAAAGCAACTGTCACTGCCAGTGTAAGCCAGCTTGTCAAAACTTAAATTAACACGGGGAATATCTGAAAATACTGCGGGGTCACGACTGACACGACAGTATGCCAACTACACATGCCAAAGCTCCCCCGTTTCACCCACCACCGGGGTGTGAAGGCATAAGGCTTGGTTGCACAGCAACACAGCTGTCTGCTATACGATGTAGTCCATCCTGTTTATGCTGTTTGCTGTCTCCAAGTCTCTGTTGTCCTGTTTATTAGTCCAATTAGGGTGTTTGGATGTGGAGTTGGGAAGGGAGACGGGCATCTTCTCGTCCCTCTCCACCAGTGTGTATGCTGGCTGTTTGGCGAAGCGGCCCTTCTGTAAGTGCCTCTCCTTGTCGTCCTCATCCCCCTCGGGATGATTTGTCCTTATTTTGGCAATGATGGAGTTCTTGTTTTCGTAGTCTTTGATGGGCACCGTGAGGCCCGCGTGCTTCTCTATAGGGTTTTTGATCTGGTTGAGCTGCTCCCGCACGTTGTTGGTCGTGTTGTCTTCGGAGCCGGTGGCCGACGTCCCGTTGTGGTTGCTCTGTTTTCGCCGGCGGCGCATGCACCACAGAAAAATGGAGACCAGCACGAGGACCCAGATGACGATAAAGATGGAGCTGAGGAGGGGCACTAGGAAGTCTGACGCAAGAAAAGAAGACGTACACAGATTATAGGAGGTGCAACAAATGTAAAAAGTGAAAATTATTAATTCTCAGCCAAACAATACTCTATAAAAAACTCAATAAAAAAGGTAGTATTCCTATCACTATGTCAAGCTTGCTAAATTATTAGCGTGCTTTTGCCAGTGCAACCTGACCTCTGAGACCTGGACAAGGGAGGAGGCCGCTTCTATTTGGCCGCGGCAGCAGTCTGCTGTCACCGTGTTGATGAATGGCGGACACATGCGGGAGTCTTACTAGAAGTCCAGCCAGTCGCAGTACGAGCCAACCTAAAGCCAGGTAGCCAAGCAGCTCTGCTTTTTCCATCCTGGCTAGAGTCGTTTTAAGCTCCATTACAACCGACATGAGATAGCAGACCTGGGCGGCCCGAGTCATGCCGGAGATATATTTTCCACACATGCAAAGGCTTTCTTCGGTGCTCCACATTGCCGTCACATTCAGGGCTTGGCTCTATCTAATCCGATCTTCTCAAAAAAGCAGAATCATCCCACCCACTGTGTGCAAGTCTGGGAAACTTCCCAGGCAACAAACAAGAATCTGAAAGCAGTTCATACCAGTTTTGCTGGAGCTTGGCACGCGCACTTCTACGATGGCGGCGATGATGGTGTTGTTCCCGTTGCGTTTGCTAACCAGGTCGATTATCCGGTCTGTGATCTCTTTAATGGGGCTCCAGTCCACACAATGATCCTCCGTAGACTAGAAGGGCCAAGAAGAAAGTGAGTTTTGAAATCTGTTGGTTTAAGTTCTCTATCTCGTCTGCCATTAATCGTGTTTACTTGCCGTCTACTGACGACACAACACAATCAAGCCTAAATCCACCACATATCCCATTAAAGCATGTCTTAATGCTGCTAAGAGTGCATCCTGCAGGCTATAAATCAAAGGGGATTTGTTTTTTTTTTTAGTACGCATGAATAGAGGCAGACAAACATATGGCAGACTGGGAGGTACTTACGATGCAGACGTGGATTTCGTTGCTGGCAGAGAATGAGGGGTCACAGGTTATGGACACAGAATGCTCCGAGGAGAAATTCTTCACCACGTACAAGCGCCTCAGCTGCTTACACACATCCTCCACAGTCAAGCTCTGGAAACGAAAAAAGGAAATGAAGCAAATGTTAACGCACATGGAAAAATAGACAGCAATCAAGAAGAAAAAGGAAGAGCTAGGCCTGCATTTTGGCAGGAGGTTCAACATGGTTGGGATCCACCTCATTTAGATTAAAGACCACAGGCTCATATGCTTGTCACAATCTGCTGTCATGCTTGTTAAGCAACTGGCGAGTGATGATCCTATGTGGTGACAGAGTCGCCAGTGGTCCCGTTTCGCTCAAATCCATATGATCCTGAAATTAATCTTGCAGTGCGGTCGGGTTAAGACGGGATTGGCATGGAGTTGGAGTTGTGAATGCGTGATTCACAGGAACACAGAACTTGGATGCAGTCGACAAAAAAACAGGGAGAAAAAAAAAAAGAAGAAAAATCACATTTTTCCCCTCCTGGAACACATTTAAAAACATGACTGAATTGTTCAGAGGTCTTAAGACTAGAACTCCTTTTGCCCAGGAGGGATGGTTGAGCACTTCTGAAAACCTGATCTTTCACAGTTCTCTGCTCCCATTCATTTCAGAGTGGCGGTGGGGGAGAGGCATGAACAATGACCCCCAGAACCTTTTAATTCAATCTCTCCCCTCCCTGGTGCCTAGGTAACTCACTTGAGGCATGGTCTCCTTGTTGAAGGTGAAGGTGATGTTGGCGCAGCTGTTGTCCTGGTAACTCGAGCTGGGGTGGCATTCGGTGGGACGCGGGGGAGGGTTGGAGCGCCAGCACTCTCCGAGGCCGAGGCAGGGCTTCACAAAGCAGTGGCCCTCCTTGATGGGGATGCAGCTCTGGCCTGAAGGACACCCACCTCGACCTTTGGCACCCAGGTGGCATGATGTCGGGCCACACCACACCTGGAGAGGAAAGCATGACAGGGCAGATGACGTTAACTAAAGTCAGACTTTTCTTTAAAGCATTAAATTAAAATAGAAATATTAGGACTAGAGCTGAAAAAGGTCTGTTAGGTCAATACTTTGGTTTTGGGCTGGCTATTGAATCTCTGGTGTTCAGACAAAAATGTAATCATGGCACCAGTTTTCCCAGTCAAGGATAATAGTGACTCTGTAAAGATTAATTTCTCTCTATTGCATGTCAAAACACATGAGCTCCTGTCAGCTAAAGCACAGTAAAACCCGAATATAATCGCATTCCCATATCAGACTATGTTTAACATGGTAGCCAGTGCCTTACAGCCCGAGATCATTTTCACCCCATGATGCATTTTCTCACCGAGGGGAGCAGTATCAGTGAGGTGCCATTGTTCATCTGGTGGTTGTACGGGCGTGATAATGATAGCAACACTCCAGGCCTCTACTGTATATCACCCAATCTTCACCCAGTGAGATTCTGCGCTTGTCATCTGACACCTATTTTCCTACAGTGCCATTGTGTTTCTTTTCTGAATCATCTCTGTATAGAATTTGACACTCCCGAGCCAACTCCTCCCCTGTGAGTGTTGTTGTGGCCCGACATGGCTCTACCTGAGATCTCTGAAGTGAGGTCTGAGACGCAACCGCCTACACACCCTTTGAGTCTATGACTAGTTACCGCACGGTTCTCCACAGCAATCCTCCCATTAGTAAACCATAACATTGTGTTTTACAGCTGTACAAAATACTTCACTTTTCTGACTTCCATGTTTAATGGATAGAGTGTGTTTGGACAAACCTTTGTGCACAGAACTTTCCCATTCAAACAGTGGCAGTTGTTGCAGTCTTCGTCCCATTTGAGTCCATCAGGGGTGACGTGTCCATTAACAGAGCAGGGTTTCCTCGTCACTGTGTTAAACACAACCACAGTATTAGAAATACATATCAGAAAAGGTGTGCTGGCAATGTGGATTTGTCCATCATCTTGTGAAGACTTCTACCTTCTTGACAGTGGGGTCCAGTCCTGTCTGGTGGACACAGGCAGCGATATCCGTTGATCTCATCCACACAGGACGAGCCAAATACACACGGAGAGGACTGGCACTCATTAATATCTGTCACAAAGGAGAAGCGCGAGAGGTAAGACGTGGTTCCTTTTTGGAATAGAGAGCACAGCCAGACGGCACATAAAGATTGGGTTAAGCAGTCGGCACACTTCCTGGGCTAAATTCACTGCAGGTCATGTGTCATTTAACAGTGCATACACGGCAGTTAATAAAAAACAAGCAAACATGCTTTAAATCAGTCCTGGACG